GAGCAGTGGCCAGCATGACTCCACAGTAAAAGTGGACAAATGGGTTCGTTTTAAATTCCCTGTGATTTTATGCCCAGCGCTCTCTTGAATTAGAGACGCACAGGGCTCTAAAGGACAATTCGCTTTCGCCACTGGAGACTTCACGCAGACATTTTTCTCTGTCAGCGCAATGTTCATAATCAGTTGAAAATGTCCGTCCGTCACAAATTTGGATCTCCCAAATGGGTCGTCGGGGGGATAACACGCAGAGCACTGCAGTTTTGAAATTCAACAGTCTTGGCACCAGATGTCGGTACAGTGCATATCAACCATCCTCCAGGTCCAAAGGAAATGTGCGAAACACAGACAGTCCTCAACTTAAGAACACCCACATTTACGAACACCCAACTTTCGAAATAGCTTCCATAAAATATATTTATTTTGACGACTTAAAACGCGAACTCGCACTTGCAAACTGAACCACGGGAACAATTTTGTTCAGCGGAGCGATCCTGTGCGATATGTCATCGGTCAACCTTGCGCTGGGAGTGTTTGTGCGTGTGTGTGTGAAAGTGGGTGTGTGTAGGCCTGGGCTCTGGGTTGTTCTTCGTGCTTTCGGAGCCCCGGACCCTCTGCTCACGATCATTAAGGACCTTCATGATGGTGAGCGGGCCCGGGTAAAACTACATGGCCGGGAGTTGGAGCCATTCCCTGTACACCTTGGGGTGTGACAGGGATGTCCTCTGGCTCCCACATTATTTAACATATATTTTGACCACGTAGTTCATGAAGCCTTAAGTAGCTGTACTGGGGGAATTTCCATTTGGTACAGATATAATGGGAGGCTGATCGATACCCGGGTGCGGTCAAGGGATGGCTCCCTATTGGTCAACCACGTTATAAATGCTGATGATTTGGTAATTGCCACTCATTCAGTGGAGGAGTTGGAGACGCTGCTGCTGAAACTGGAGTGTGCCCCTAAGAGGTGGGGCCTTACCATCAGCCCCACCAAAACTAAGCACCTGCCTGGGTATTTTGTACCATCGGACACTCCACCCCCACAACTCGCAATCGTGATGGGGCAGTAGTGGAGAGAGTGGAGAGTTTCCCATACCTGGGCAGTGTGCTCATGACCGGCTCCAGTTTAACAGCAGAGGTCTCACTCCGAATCAGTCGACAATATATTTTCATCGGTTGCGTAACGCTGTGTGCAAGCTACCTGGTCTGTCGTTTTGCACGAAGCTTCATGTCTTCTCGGCCACAGTCATTCCCTCCCTTCTCTACGCTTGCGAAACGTGGACCCCCTTAATGGAGCATCTTCGCCGGTTGAAAACATTTACGCTGGCCTGCCTATGATCCATCCTGGGTTTAACCAGGCTGGATTGTGTGAGGAGCTCACAAATCCTTGAAAGATCTGGGCAAAGTCCCATCGGTGAGCTCCTCCGGCAGGCAAGGCTGCGTTGGCTGGGTAATGTAGCCCGCATGCCCAGCCACCGCATGCCGAAACAGCTTTTCGGCCGGATCGAGGGGGCTAAACAGGCGCGGCACGGGCTAGAGAAGAGATGGAGTGATGTGGTACAGGAGGACGTGGAGCTGAGTGGACTTGCCGATGACTGGTACCTGCGGTGTCAAGATCGGCCTCTGTGGAGGAGGCTCGTGAAGGACGCTGCTGGGCAGTTGGAGATAGTCGCCCTCCAACAACAACGGAGGGCGGAGTGCCGGGTGGCTAAAGCACAGCAAGTTGGCACAGTAGGGGGCACAGGTGGTGCATCAGCCATTCATCTCGGTCATCTCAGTCAGTCGACCCGTGGCACCTGCTGGGTCTGCCCCGTGACCTCCTGCCAGCCGGCGTTCGATACTTCACGTGGCCTCAAGGTGCACATGGCCTGGCACAAGCGTCGTGGTGCTCATCACCGCCACTTAGTTGTTGTGCCCCATGTGTGTGCGTCTGTGTGTGTGTGGCCTGTGTGTGTGCGTGCCCCGTGTGTGTCTGTGTGAGTGCAATTTTGGTGACTCATTGCATCCCTTCTGACAAGCAAACCAGCATCAGGACTCAAAGTAAGTTGAAATAAACGGATTTTTTAATGTTATGCTACTTTAATGGACATTTAAATACGGAACGCTATTACGTTTTGACTTACGAAAAAATATCTTCGTAAATCGAGGGTGCCTTGTCGTAATTAAGTAGAGTACAACACAGTAGCGTCTGCTCGTTTTCCAAGCGACTATATAGCTGAGTGAGCGATCCGTGATAGTTGAACGCCGTGCAGATGAGCGGTCAGTCCGGTTGACTGTGTCCGCGATACGGGATGGAGGAATCCGCACCTGCGACTAGCACGGTTGGCTACGTTCGGTGTGAAAGAAGCTCAACGTACGTACAGTCGACGAGCGTAGGGAGTTGTGTCGGGGTGGTGGTGGTTGGTGGGGTCATTCACTCATCGTTAACCTTGGTGCCAGAGGTGAAGGTGCTGCTGTTGGTGACGATGGAGTAGGGTGTGCCGGTCAGTGTGTTGGTGCCGTGACCTGGAATCATGGTGGTGCAGATTGACCCTGGTGCTCCAGCACTGTAGCCCTGAGCTCTGTGCAGACCCACCAACCCCACCATCCACACAGCCAGCAGCGCCTCCATCATTCCCAGACAGAGACGAGGCCACAGGGTTTGTGTACGACAAATGTTAGTGGTTAATATATATTTATTTCTGATAGTAAAACTCAAAAATTTTGAGCAAAAATAAATGCTGGGGCCAAATTTTAAAATATAAGCCGGCGAAGGTTATCAGCATACAACCAAACAATAATGAAAATGTATTTTGTTCAAATGTTAAAATTGTTGGTGTTTGCGAATGTTCTGCATGCAAACGGTGAGTGGAGCAGCATAGGTGCTGTGAGCCGGACCTGCGTGGGCGCCAGGGCTTCTTATACAATCGAGGGATGAGGGGGTATAGGGGCCACAGCGTGGAGTGGACAAAAACGGGGGCACTCATTGGTCACCGCTGTCACAGCGATTTAGACAGAGTTTGCGCAATTGAAATTTTGCAATATTTAGCATTCTGCTGAAGTGCATGGTGTGACGAGAGGCCACTTCCTTGAGCAATCATTTGTCATGTCCAGGTCACTTCTTAAAAAGAGGTATGTGTTTGGCTCAATTTAACACGTAGGCTTTCGCGACCAGTACTATTCATAATAAAGGTTTGTGGGTTAAATCGCGTTATTTATAAATATATGGCTCAGTGGGCTTTCACCTGGTAAAAAAAATATTTCAGTTGCTTTCATCCGTTTCTAAACGTGGAGAATCAAAAAAAAACGGAGGTCACGGGAGAGTGAGGGACAGACATACAAACTACAAACATACAACAGGCATCATCGGGGTCGGGATGGAACCCACGAACCTCCTGTATACCAGGCGAGGTAGTTAACATCTCGTCACACGCAAATATACAGCAGGGGTCGTCGCTGTTCTCTGACCGACACCGCGCTGCTGCGCGGGGTTCGTCCTCCCGGCAAGGGGTCATTCTGGGCTGCGACGTTCGCTTCGAGTCCCCTCGGGCAGCGCAACAACGAGACCACTACACCTTGCGCTTCAGCAGAATTAAGAAATATTGCGCAATGTTCCACGTTGCACAATTCTTCCGAGCCGACGTGGCCCCTCGTGACCAATGTGGTCCCCCTTGCGTTTGTCTGCTCCCCGCGGTGTCCCCCCCTCCTCCTCCCCCGCTCATCTCTCGAGTATAAGGGTCGGAACTGATGGTGCAAGCTGAACTTGTCTACTTTATTTATTGAAGTTGCGCCACTGTGACGAGATGCTATCCTCCTCGCATGGTATGTAGGAGGTCGGGGGTTCGATCCCGACCCTGACGCCTGTGTCTATGTGGAGTTTGCACGTCCTCCCCGTGGTCGCGTTAATTGTTTCTCCGCGTCCTCCGGTTTTTCCCTCCGCATGATCAGCCACTTTGTTGAGCCTTCATATCTGCCCAGCTTGCTTTTTAAAAATAAATGAATACCTCAGTGGGCTTTGTCTGGTAGGATGGGTATGGTTTAGTTTTATTTGTAGGTGTTAGAGTGATTTATTTATCTTTCTTGTACTTTGAAGTCCTATTGTGTTTTTGTATTGTAATGTTCTGACCCGCCCCTACCGGACATCTGTGAAAAAGAGCTTCATAGCTCATCGGATTCCTCCTGCAGTGTAAATAGAGATTATGATAAGAAGCCCTGCCATCCGCGCAGGTCTGGCTCACGGCAGCTCTGCTCCGCCACTTGCCGCTTGAAGTTCAGAACATTTACAAACAACGATTCTATTTTGTTTTGCAGCAAACTCATTTTTTGTGTGTTAACCAAATTTGTCCAATAGTTTTTTTTGCTTTTGAGTTTTACCCTCCTAAATAAATTCTACTGACCACCGACATTTGCTGTCGACTTCAACCCCTTGGCACAGTCTCCCTGGGAACGATGGAGGCGCTGCTATTCGCTGTGTGTACGGTGTGGGGTTGGTGGGTCTTGCACGGAGTTCAAGGCCACCGTTCGGTTGATTGCGGGGACTGCATTTGGGGAAACCCTACCCCATGGAGTGGTGGTTCTCAGCCGCGGGGTACGTGGACCCCTGGGGGGTACACGTGGCAATGTCCCAGGGGGGTACGCGAGGTGATTTATAAATGTCTGAAATTCTATCATACGGGAAGTATCATTGGTGAATAATCATTGTGTGTGAATCTGCCAAGAAAAAATAACTACGAGAAAATGTAAATATATATGGTAACCTAGAACGTCATAAAATACCTTTCTAAACTCAGTGATGGTAAACAATATGGTTGCCAAGAGTAACCAGTGAGTGCCAACAAATTAAGTCTTGCTTGCATTTACTAGCTACTTAAAGATACATCACGAAATGTACAATTTGTTAAAATATTTATGCTCATTATTCGTACATTTATTTCTCAGAACCTTGTTGGATTGGGCAAGGTGCTCGGTTGAGACAAAATTCAACGAGTGGGGTAACAGTAACGGAAACACAAGGTTGAGAACAACTGCCGTAGACAATGACGACGATGACAATGATTAATTTTAGAATATTATTTATTGATTAAGATGTAACCCAGACAACACCTTCCCTCAGCACCCACAAATGGCACGGTGGAATGCTCTCACCGGGCTCGTGTCAAAGGGGGTTCGGCGGCGATTAACAGCAATGGGCTTAAAGTTACTCCCGGGGACAGGCCTCGAGAGTTTTGGGTTGGGGTGGCGGGGGACAAAATGGAACCTGGCTAGAGTGAGGATGGGATGAGGGGGAGATAACGGGGTGAGTGTACAGGTGTCGATGGATAGAAGGCGGCCAAGTGACGTTGGGACAAACGTCTCGAGGATGAGTGGTGGCGGTAGTTGCCATGGAGATCGGCTGATGAGGTGGGGGCGTTACCCGAGGAGGGAGCCGGAGGAGGGGGGGATTTTGGCGGGAGTTGCCAAGGGTACGGAGCGACCGGGCGTATCTGGGACAGGAGAAGATTCGAGACGGAAAGGGCGGGGGGGGGGGTAAGAGAAGCAAGGACAACAGGCGGAGGAGAGAAGGAGATGTATTTCAGCGCTGGTGGAGATTTTTCGTTGAGCTGGAGTGGAGAGGGACGGGAGAGGCAGGGTCACGAGGGACCGGAGGTGCGCTGTGAGCGAGAGTGCAAGAGAGTGAACGTGGGGCGAACGGAGAGCCCTGGGGACTCGTGGTCACTCTAGATGCTGGGTCCGAGTGGATGGCGCCCGCCCCTCTCCGCTCGTTCCAACCGAATCGCCTCGTCGCAGCGATATGAGTTGTTTTGCCGGATTGTGAATGAAGTTAGAAACCCGGCCCATTGCCCACCCTCCCCGCCACCCCCCACCAAAGATCGTTACTTCTAGGGATCGTTGCACGCGCTGAAAGGACTCCGTGACTTCGCCGGTGGAATCAACGGCAGCACGCGGCTGTGAAGACCACGAGCAGCGCGCCCAGCGAGAACCCAGACATGGCGAGGGCCGCACGCCCGGCAGAGTTGCCTGGCTTGGTTGTGGTCGTAGCTGGTGGCTTGGCTGTGGTCTTAGCTGGTGGCTTGGCTGTGGTCTTAACTGGTGACTTGGTTGTGGTCTTAGCTGGTGGCTTGGCTGTGGTCTTAGCTGGTGGCTTGGTTGTGGTCTTAGCTGGTGGCTTGGCTGTGGTCTTAACTGGTGACTTGGTTGTGGTCTTAGCTGGTGGCTTGGCTGTGGTCTTAGCTGGTGGCTTGGTTGTGGTCTTAGCTGGTGGCTTGGCTGTGGTCTTAACTGGTGACTTGGTTGTGGTCTTAGCTGGTGGCTTGGCTGTGGTCTTAGCTGGTGGCTTGGTTGTGGTCTTAGCTGGTGGCTTGGTTGTGGTCTGAGCTGGTGGCTTGGTTGTGGTTTGAGCTGGTGGCTTGGTTGTGGCTACATAACCTGCAGCACACACAAGGGAATGAGGTTTTTGTAAATATTGTCATCGCTCCTCTCGCACAAAACAGACAGAGAAAGTTTTTGCATGTTAAGCCTTATCCACCACTTGCAAGGCCTGGTCTTGTGGCTATGCATGCCTGCGAGTCAGCGCTGTGGAGTCAACGAGAGTTTGTGGATCACGTATGTATATTGAACTTCATTCGCACCGTACGTAGCCAACCATGCTTATCGGGGGTGAGGGGTCACACGCAACATTGTAAAACTCCCTCCACATGGGCGTCGAGGAGGTGCTCCATATCCCTGGCTCGCCAGGAGAAGGTGGCACAGCAAGGTGCGGACTGCAGTATTTCCCATCTGGCCTATCTGTATGGGACAGAGTGTTGTCCCCTGCGTACACATGTAGGGGTTTCTCCGGGTGTCGCACACGCGTGAGCACTAGGTTTTGTCGCTGACGTACTTTCGGAAGGAGGTTTGTGGGCTTCGATGGCGCCGGTGGATCATTGTGAATGGGCGCTGCCGGCATGGAGCAGGTCTCTGGGTGCTTTTCAAAGGTCACGAGCGCTACTCAACGGCGTTTGCCATGCGACCTTTGATATGCTGGAGTTCATTCAGTAATTGCGCCGTTCTAACAACACAAGGCTCATGCGAAGGGAGGCGCTGCGTGTCACGGTAGTTTATGAGTTGGGGGAGCAGAATTTGGCGGTTAGCACGCTGCGCTGTAGACCCGGTGACCCGAGTTCGTTTCCCGCTCATGGCCATCCACATCGGTGACGGTTATCTTAACTGGTCTTGAGCCTCCCCTAGATCAACTCAGCCTCAAATTGATTCCTGGTGTGTGTAAACATTGTGGCTAGGGTGACAAAAGCGGCCGGGTGTGGTTCTGGCCATACACCCCCACGTATGCCATGCCGGCCTTAATAAGTGCTGCGACTCGCTAACAGCACTTGCCCCACCAGTCTGTTAAGGCTATACGGGGAATGTTTGTTTATGAGGAGCAGGACATGTTGCAGGTAATTCCATATTGAGATGCTTGACCAATACCAGTCACATTGGAAGAAACCGGAGAACTCTGAGGAAACCCATGCAGGAGAGGGGGGGAAGTTACAGATCAACACACGGAAAGTCACCCGAGTGAGAAATAAAACCCTGCCACTGAACTCACCTGAGGCATTGACCTTCGCCGACTGCACGTTCATTTGCCATTCGGGTTCCGTCTTGACCACGGTCGCTCTGTGGGGTGGACACAGGTCAGGCGTGTAACAACTTGAGGCCTCGCCTCTACAGAGTCGTCAGTGTGAGTTTACACGTGATTAATCATACGCACAATTGTGCGCTCTGCCACTATGTGTTGCTGTAATTGCTCACGTGCACAGCAGGCCACTCCCCCAATTGAGATGTTGGGGTGGACTCCGTGCTGAGGGACTGAGCTGAGGTGTTGCGTGACATGGAGGGTGATAGGGAGCGTGTCTGGTCATTATTGCTGGCACGCAAACGCCCCTCGGAAGAACCCTTTGATATAACCTCTGGTCTCAGAAATATATTTTATTTGTTGTGTATTTATTTAGCCGACCTGTCCCCCTAGTTACGATTCACGAGAGGAGAGAGACAAGGAGGGCCGGCTACTCCCCAATGGAGTTGCCGATATGGAATCGTAAACAAAAGTCGTCGAGTAGAACCAATCCCCGATGCTCTTGGGAAGAGAACGTCCATCGGAGGACAATGCAACCGCTTAGTGGCCAAAAAACGCCAAAATTTTAAAAACAAATAACTGTAGATTAGTCAGTAGAGATGACGTACAGCAGGATCGCACCCCCCAGATGCGACACCTTGACAGGACCCTCCTGAGAAAAGGGTCTTGAGATTCGGCGAGACTCTCCCAGGTAGACAAGCGGAGTAATATTAAAGTAAGGGGGTTGCAGTCCAAGGTAAGCCTTTGAACGTGAACTTTGTCACCTCAACACAGCGCATACCGCTTCAGGGAATTTCTCCATTACAATGCACCACACCGAACCCCTTCTACCCGCTCCTTTTGTCTTCTCTGTTCTTTCTGTAAACTTAACGGCCTCTCCACCAATCTCCCTTTGTCTTCCCTACCGGTCTCCGCGATGTAACAGGCACGTTCTGCGTTATAACATCACATAACGGCAAGATAAACGTTCCCAAACGGAAGAACCGTGTTGTAGAAAAAACGCGTTGTAGTGTGAACACCGTCACGCATTAAGCGAGGACTCACCGTATCCCATCATAGGGTTCTCTAGGCCTTCCTTACACCAATAATATTTTTTTTATTTTACCTTATAAGACCCATTGAGCTATATAGCTCATCGAAGTGGCTGATGTGGAAATTTATAGCAGCCAAATACTCTAAACATGTGGCCATTCTAAATGTGGAGGGAAAACCGGAGGACCCAGAGAAAAACCCACGTGACCACATGGAGAGAGACATGCACACTCCAAATATAGAGGCGTCGGGGTCAGGATCGAACCCACAGCTTTCTGTATACCATGTGAAGGTAGTTAACATCTCGTAGCCACTGTGGCGTGTAATTAGTACTAATATTCATAAAAATCCAGTGGGTTGTTCTTATAAGAGTGCCCTGTGACAGTGAACTCACACAAACACTACAGAGCTGGGAGGGTTTGTAGTCGGGGGGATCCAATACAAGCTCAGATTCGTCTTGGAGGTTCTGCTGGAGTGCGTCATTGCGTCGTTTGCCACGGAATTGCACTGCGAGATAGAAACAAAACGACAATGGACATTGTTATTGAAGCTGGAATTAACCTGATGAGCCTATGTAGCCCTTTGTGGGCCGTTGTACAGCCCAGGCCGGGTTGGCAATGAAGGAAACGTGCACAGGATGACCACGTGCCCCAGTCGTGTTTATCCCTCATCCCTCGCCTCGCCTTGAGTTAAAGGGGCTTTGTGTGCTTAGCATGTGCCAATGCCCAGCCTGAAACATCCCCTAACCCGCGCATTAACCACCCACCACATTCTATTCAAATCGTGCCGAATTTCCATGTTTTGTTTACTGGACAAACCTTACAAATTGGCTGAGTCGGGTGGTGGCGGATTTAACGACACATTTACGAGATGTAACTCAATAACTTCTTATGGGTAAAGGAATTTGTATAAATGGGAAGTCTACACACGACTGCATGGAATACATAACAGTGAGGATCACAAAGCCAAAAGGAGTAATGGCAGGACCCAAAGAGTGACCAACGTAGAAGTAAAAAACAAGGTTGCACGTAGAAGAAGACGACCTGAGGATGATGCAGGCGGTGATGAGAAGGAAACTGGCACTTGGGCACACAACATGTAGGATGAAAATTCAAAGTGTTTTTCGGAAATATGAAAGGCACCGGAAAGGGAGAAAGACCTCAGAGAATGGCTTGACGACATAAGAGATTGGTGCTAACAAGATGTACTTGAGCATGTTGCACAAGGCAAAGGAAAGTGGAAACAAATGACGAGATGTGCAGTGGACACCTACGGACTATCTGTCCATGGATCGTGATTATGAGGATGATGTCAACCGTGGGCTGAGTCACCTGTACGAATTTGTTGCCTGTAGGTGGGGTGTCCCATGTGCCCACGATGGTCGCGGTGTCGGGTATTCGCGCTTGCAGGAAGTAGCCCTTGAAGGTGCCCACGATGGTGACTGTGGACAGACACAAGGAGGCGACAATTTCTGAGACGCTCACAGCCCCCGCCACCTTAGCTCGGCTGTCGTGCTACTCACCCCTTTCGTGACACGAGCTGTGGCCGTGATGACTCCAGAGTTAATGTGGACAAACAGGTTCGTTTTCAATTCCCAGTGCTTTTATGCCCAGCGCACTCTTGAATTGGAGATGTACAGGGCCCTTTATGACAAGTCGGCTTCGCCACTGGAGACATTTTTCTGAGTCAGCGCGAGGTTCTATCGAAACTCTGTATGGGCAACACTTATGAAAAATTTATTTTCGTAAATCGAGGCTGCCCTGTCGTAATTAAGTAGAGTACAACTCTGTAGCGTCTGCTCGCTTGCCAAGCTACTATATAGCTGAGTGAGTGAGCGATCCGTGATGGTTGAACGCCGTGCAGATGAGCGGTCAGTCCTTTCGACTGAGCCCGCGATACGGGCTGGAGGAATCCGCACCTGCGACTAGCGCGGTTGGCTACGTTCAGTGTGAAAGAAACTCAACGTGCGTACATTCGACGAGCGTAGGGAGTTGTGTCGGGGTGGTGGTGGGTGGGGGGGGGGGTCATTCACTCACCTTTAACCTTGGTGCCAGAGGTGAAGGTGCTGCTGTTGGTGACGATGGAGTAGGGTGTGCCGGTCAGTGTGTTGGTGCCGTGATCTGGAAGCATGGTGGTGCAGGTGGACCCTGGTGCTCCAGCACTGTAGCCCTGAGCTCTGTGCAGACCCACCAACCCCACCATCCACACAGCCAGCAGCGCCTCCATCATTCCCAGAGAGAGACGAGGCCACAGGGTTTGTCTACGACAAATGTTAGTGGTTAATATATATTTATTTCGGATAGTAAAACTCAAAAACTTAGAACAAAAATAAATGTTGGGCCCAAATTTGAAAATGTAAGCTGGTAATGGTTAACAGCACACAACCAAAAAATTATGAAAATGTCTCTTGTTCAAATGTACAAAATGTTGGTGTCTGCGAACGTTCTGCGCGCAAACAGTGAGTGGAGCAGCATAGGTGCTGTGAGCCGGATCTGCGTGAGTGCCAGGGCTTCTTATACAATCGAGGGATGAGGGGGTATCGGGGCCACAGCGTAGAGTGGACAAAAACGGGGGCACTCATTGGTCACCAGTGCCACAGCGATTTAGACAAAGAATTTGCACAATGGAAATTTTGCAATATTTTAAATTCTGCTGAAGCGCACATGTGACGATAGGCCACTTCGTTGAGCAATCATTTGTCATGTGCAGGTCTTTTCTTAATAAGAGCTATGTATATGGCTCAGTGGGCTTTTACCTGGTAAATATACAAATTGCAGTTGCTTTCCTACTACTACTAAACACATGTTTCTAAACGTGGAGAGAAAAAAAAACGGAGGTCACGGGAGAAAAATCCACAAGCATGGTGAGGGGGCGGACGTGCAAACTACAAACATACAACAGGCATCATCAGGGTCGGGACGAAACCCACGACTTCCTGTATATCAGGCGAGGTAGTTAACATCTCGTCACACACAAATATACAGCAGGGGTCGTCGTGTTCCTCTGACCGACACCGCGCTGCTGCGCGGGGTTCGTCCTCTCGCTCGGGGAGGGGTCATTCGGGGCTGCGACGTTCGCAACGACGAGACCAGCACACCTTGTGCTTCAGCAGAATTAAGAAATATTGCGCAACGTTCTGCGTTGCGCAATTTTTCCGAGCCGCCGTGGCCCCTCGTGACCAATGTGGTCCCCCTTTTGTTTGTCTGCTCGACGCTGTGTGTCCCCCCCTCCTCCTGATTGTGCTCCTCCTCCTCGATGTATTCTAAAGCGGTCATATATCGAGGTATGACTGTATGTCGTTTCGTTTCCCCAATGTAACACCCACCACAGGTGCAACTTAGTTTGTAGACTCCAGGATATTGCATGTCAGGAATGACATCCTTCACAGATGGGATTAAACACGGATTTTTTTGTACTGCACTGAATCGGACCTGGATCTTGTGTTTTAAGATTTTGGAAATATTTTTGGTAACGCCTGCTATGTATGGTAACTTGATGGTTTTGATCGGCATCTCAGGGGGTTGTTTCTCCATGGTTGGAGAAATAGCTTTGCTCATAATGCAGTCCAAGTACCCATTCATCATTGGAAGGATGTTATTAACCAGTTAAAACCTTAACTGCTTTATGGTGTTGCCTTCATTTCCGCATCTCCAGCTTCTTCAGCCTCCCACTCCCAGCCCCGCCCACTTCCCCCCGGCATTTTGTCTGATCGTCCTCTAAACGTTCTCGCAGCACTCCCCCCCCCCCTCTCTCTATCTCTCCCCCCTTGCTCCTCCGCCCTCTCTTACCTATATAGCCTCTTGTAACAGTAGCCCTTTTGCCCACTTCAGAAATTGTTTCTTGCTGTGGTTGTCTCACCTGATGCCGGACGCTTGTGTTGCGCCCGAAACGTGATTTAATTTACTTTATTATATACCTACGTGACTTTACCGAAAGAACCAAAGAGTATTTGGATCATATTTAGGGCCACCTTTGTGAAGTGGACGAACATAGGAATGTTTCCCTTCTAGAGGTACTGATGCTTCTTTGATCGACTGGTTGAAAATATGGGCTATAGGTTTGCATATTAGGTGACCAACAGTTAGCAGAGCAAAGACGGGAATACTATCCGCTCCGGTAGAGGAGGACCCTTTGAGGTAGGACAGTTGTTTCAGCACATTACTTTCGTGGATAGGCTGGAAACTAAATTCGTTTAATGTTTGGACAGGGGTGTAGGAAATTGTATGAGCAGGGGTGACTCCCAATACATTATGAAAAAGGTCACCAGCTTCAGAAAAATGGAGGTTAAAATTGTCGACTTTTTTTGGGGCTCTGAAAAATAGTCCCCGTTTCGGTTCAGCGCAATGGGCAGATTATCTGTGTTCGATGCCTTTTCGATAAATTTGATTGTTTTCCAGAAGATCCTGGCATTGCCATGTGATTCCAGGAGAGTGGAGGAAAAGTAAGCATTTTTTGCATACCGTATTTTTTTGACGCATCTATTCCTTAAAATCCTGTATTCTAGCCAGTCATTGACCAACTTACTTTTCTGAGCACATTCCCTGTCCCTAGTTTTCATGAGCTTAGTAATCAAAAGATCAAACCATGGTGGGCGGTTGCCTTTAATTTTAAATCTAACCAACGGAACATGTTTGTTAAGAATTTGGAGAAACGTGTGCCTGAAGGTCTCCCAAGCCGTAGTAAGGTTGGGGATATGACAGACCTTGTCAATATCCGAGTGAAGCACATCATTAGTAAATGCTTGTATGCTGAAGTGTCTCATGGAGTGCTTATCAACCAATTTAGGGGGGCTTTGGGTCTAGCTGACGATCTCACCCCAAATTTGAAGGAGTGATCACTAAGGTTATTACTCAGAACACCAGTAAGCGGGAAATTGTAAGGGGCATTAGTCAATAGGACTTTAAGCAGAGATTACTGTCCCGGATTTTTTTAGGTTGGGGCTTGTTGGACATTTATTAATTGTAATAGGTTAAATTCATCTGCAAAATTTGTGGCCACGGCCGGCGGGTTTAGCCAATTCCAATTCAGATCACCCACAAAATCTATTTCACCTTCAGGGAGGCCCCCAAGAAGCTCTCTCAGTGCTGACACAGCTTCAACATCCTTACCACTAGGCGGTCTATAGCAGCACACTACCAATATCTGTTGATTATTTTGGAGAGTTATCCTGAGAGCCATACCTTCAAAACAATTTTTTTTAACAAGGAGTGAGCTGGTGAACATGCAATAGTATTACGAACATAGATGGCAATTTCACCTCCTTTAGACCCTTGGTCAAGCCGAAAAAGGTTGTAGTTGTCAATCTTAATCTGCAAGTCATTTACGGAAGGAGTGAGAAATGTTTCTGTAAGGCAAAAAATGTCCGGGTCCAGATTTACCACTTCTAGTTTTAGTTGACTTAATATAATCACAAGCCCTCAGATGTTGACATGTAGAACACCAACACCTTTTCTGCCAGAAAAATCTACAGAATTATATGAGTTCTTTACATTTGGGCCAGGATGAAGCTCAATACCTCCTAGAAATAAGAAAAGTATAATTAATAGTTTGCACAGGTATTTTCTGTGAAAGGATGAAGAGTGGCGAACCTTGGACGAATAGCAGCAGCTCACAGATGGGGACATTTTTAAGAGGAGAATGAAGTTTGGAAGGAGTGCTGGTGAAGTAATGGGACAGAGATAGGGTTTAAAAGGATAAAATGATGGAGTGTAGAAGTGTCTATAAGCTGTTTCATTAGCAGGTGTAGTGGCAAATTTAGCAACAAGTATGGACGAGAAATAACGAGGGTTGCTGGTGGTAGAGTTGAGTGTGGCACTAAATATGGCCAGGAGGGACAGCAGTAGGATACACAGCAGCAGGAGAACTGCCATCTTTAAAATATCAAGGGTACACACAGTTTAACACACAAGCGAAAAAAATACTTGTAGGCCGAGCGCGAGAAACGTCTTGCTGCACTCGTCACACATGCATGGCTTCTCGCCCGTGTGCTTGAGTTTTTGGAGATGAGCACCGCCCTCAATATGACATTAGAGCAAGAGATCACTATTGATCATAGCATTGGAGGTGAAGCGTAAAAGGGTTGCGCGCTCATTGACGGCCTTGCTTCTTGCTGCACTCGGGTGGCAGCTTAAGGGTTTCCAGGTCGTTGAGCGAGCGCTGGAGAGTGGCTCCGTGCTTGCCGATCAGGTCGTTGCATGTGCTCATATCCTCGAACTTCGAGGACAGCGAGCGGAGCGTGGTCTGCACCTGATTTCTCATCGTCCGAGTTGCTTGCAGCACGCTTATAGAGCCAGCCCTCCTTCACCACTGTCACCTCCGCCATGGTGTCGTAGTCCTTCTGCCGTGGCTCTCAAGCACTTTCGCCACAGACTCTCCGTGCACCTCACACGAGCATGAGCGACGCGTCACTCCTCACCACCACGACCACGGTGGTCCGCAGGGACCTGGGTGCTGCTCCCTGTGACTTTTGGAGACAAAGACGGCCGGGCCTGGTGCTACCCACACACCTCCTCCTGTGCCATGCCGGCCCCCATTTATGCTGCTCGGGAACATCAACTTGCCCCAAAAGCACGTTGAGGCTAAATGGGGTCTTCGTCTGAGTGTGTGTGTCAGTCGAGCCGTGGCACCTGGGTCGTGCACATAGCCTGGCACAAGCGTCGTGGTGACATCACCGCCACTTTGTGGCAAATTGCGGTTGTTGTCACTGTGTGTGTGCTTGTGTGTGGGTGTTTGTGAGTGTTGAGTTGAATATCTGCGTGGTTTTAAACGTCCCGAAGGCCTGCTACGACCCGTCCTGGGTGCCACCAGGTCGTCTCGTGCGAGCAGCTCGCAGACCTACGTTGAACTTCTTTCGCACCGTACATAGCCGACCGTGATAATCGGAAGTGCGGGGGAAGGACAACAAACTCAACACGCAAAAAAACAGTTCTAAAGAAAGTCGTTTTCAATCTGCCCCAGTGGCTTCCTCATATTCATTAATAAACCTTAAAGGATAATAAATACACAATACGAAAAGCCTGAAGCCTAGGGCTTTAGACGAGGCGCTGGCGAACTAGGCCTTGATAATTTTTTACTCAATAAACAAAGTAAATAAACCTTAAATTTGAATAAATATTCGTGCATTTGTACTATAATAAATATAGACACGTACATTTATATTTGAAAGTGCATAAATGTACACAAATTAAAAAACTAAAAAAAAATTACAATACAGAAAGCTGAGGGCTTTAGGCGAGTGTGCTGACGGATTAGGCCTTTATCACATTTAAACTCAATAAACAAAGTGAATAAATCTTAAATTAGAATAAATATACCTGTATTTGTATAATGTCAACAAACGGCAGCCTACATCGGCATGCGTGGGTGGAGTCTCTTTGGCAGGGCGACTACAAAGTGCCCCTGTTGTCTGTTCCCAGCCGTCTGCCCGCCTTGGCTTCATGTGTTGCGTTCGCTTCAGTCTACACGCGTGTTGATACCGAGATTCGAAGTCTGACAATATTGATATTCAGCTAGTTAATAGTTCCGTAGCGAATTAGTGATAACGAAAATTCGAATCTGAGTGAAGTAGAAAATTAAAGTTAATAAACGGAGCAGTTAATCACCGTGAAGAATACTCTTTGGTTCTTTCAATAAAGTCACGTAGGTATAAAAAATAAAATCAATTTAATCACGACGTTTCGGACGCATTACAAGCGTCCGTCATCAGGTGGGACATCCACAGCAAGAAAACAATTGCTGAAGTGGGCCACTGTGGGTGTTCCACCTGATGACGGACGCTTGTGTTGCACCCGAAACGTCGTGACTACATTTATTAAATTTTTATACCTATGTGACTTTTCCCGAAAGAACCAAAGAGTATGGATCCCTGCAGTCACGAAAACTTCAAATCTAGATTACACCGTGAAGAATATCGAAACATGCGGTGTGGGATTACTTCACAAAAGTCGATTCTGATCAAAGCAAGGCACAGCAACCTGCTGGGTGAGAATGCGGAAAACTGTTGTTTCTTCACTGCAACATTCGTTTGTTTGGATATAATTACTAAGTAAGTAACACCTAAAGATTTGATATTTAGAGACTCTCAATTTAAACACACACACAGCTCACTCACACACACAGCTCACTCACACGCCGCTGCCATATGTTGAGCCTTCGTATCTTGCTTTTGAAAAATAAATTGCCTCGGTGGGTTTTGTCTGGTAGGATGGTTTAGTTTTTTGTAGTTAGGGTGATTTATTTACCTTTCTTGTACTTTGCAGTCCTATCGTGTTTTTGTATTGTAACGTTTTGACCCGCCCCTACTGGACATCTGTGAAAAAGAGCTTCATAGCTCATCGGATTCCTCCTGCAGTGTAAATAGAGATTCTGATGATAAGCCCTGCCACCCGCGCAGGTCCGGCTCACGGCAGCTCTTCTCCGCCACTTGCCGCTTGAAGTGCAGAACATTTACAACGATTTGATTTTGTTTTGCAGCAAACTCATTTTTTTTGTGTTAACCAAATTTGTCCAATAGTTTTTTTTGCTTTTGAGTTTTACCCTCCTAAATAAATTCTACTGACCACCGACATTTGCCGTCGACTTCAACCCCTTGGCCCCATCTCCCTGGGAACGAGGAAGGCGCTGCTGGCTGTGTGTACGGTGTGGGGTTGGTGGGTCTGCACGGAGTTCAAGGCCACCGTTGAATGGGGATGGAGTAAATTTGTAAATGCTGGAAGGACGGAGCGTGGCGGCGGTTGGTCGGTTGGTTGCGGGGACTGCATTTGGGGAAACCCTGCCCCACGAAGTGGTGGTTCTCAACCGGGGGGGTACGTGGACCCCTGGGGGGGTACACGTGGCAATGTCCCAGGGGGATATGCGAGGTGATTTATAAATATCTGAAATTCTACAATACGTGAAGAGTCATTGGTGAATAATCATGTTGTGTGAATCTGCCCAAGAAAAAATAACTACGAGAAAATGTGAATATATACGGTAACCTAAAACGTTATAAAATACCTTTCTAAACTCAGTGATGGTAAACAATATGGTTGCCAAGAGTAACCAGCGAGCGTGAACAAATTAAGCATTGCTTGCAATAACTAGCTACTTAAATACATCACGAAATGGGCAATTTGTTCGAATATTTATGCTCATTCATACATATATATCTCAAACCCGTGTTGGATCGGGCAAGGTACTTGGTTGAAACAAAATTAAATAATTAGGGTAACAGTAGCAGCAACACAAGGTTGAGAACAACTGGCATAGACAATGACGACGAGGACAATGATTAATTTTAGAATATTGTTTAATGATTAAGATGTAACCCAGACAACACCTTCCCTCAGCACCCACAAATGGACGGCATTGGTGGAATGCCCCCCCCTCCCCGCCCACCCCACGACCCCACCAACATTCCGTCACCACTCCACCACTCCGGACCGCTGCACGCAGTGAAGGGACTCCGTGACTTCGCCGGTGGAATCAACGGCAGCACGCGGCTGTGACGACCACGAGCAGCGCGCCCAGGGAGAGCCCAGACATGGCGAGGGCCGAACGCCCGGCAGAGTTGCCTGGCTTGGCCGTGGTCTTAGGTGATGGCTTGACTGTGGTCTTAACTGGTGACTTCGTTGTGGTCTTAGCTGGTGCCTTGGTTGTGGCTACATAACCTGCAGCACACACAAGGGAATAGGAGATTTTTGTAAGTTTAATTCTCCCCTTTTTCACACATAACAGAAGAAGGTATGTTAGCACGTGATGCCTAATGCACCACTTTCCAAGGCCTGGTATCGTGGCTATGTACGCCTGTGAACCAGCGCTGTGTTGGATTATGTGTGTCTGTGTTGAACTTCTTTCACACCATACGTATCCAACCATGATAATTGGAGATGCGGGATCACACACAGTCATTGTAAAACTCCCTTCGCGTGGGCGTTGACAAGGTGCCTCGTATCCCTGGCTCTCCAGGAGAAGGTGGCACAGCAAGGTGCGGACTGCAGTATTACCCATCTGGCCCATCTGTATGGTTGTCCCCTGCGTACACATGTAGGGTTTATCCCCGGGTCCTCCGGTTTGCTCACACACACGTGAGCACAAGGTTTTGTCGCTGACGTACGTTCGTAAGGAGATTTGTAAGCTTTGGCATGGAGCAGGTCTCTGGGTGCTTTTCAAAGGTCACGAGCGCTACCCAAAGGCGGTTGCCATGCGATCGTTAATATAATGGTGTTAATTCGGTATTTGCGCCATACTTGCATCAAAAGGCTCGCGTGAAGGGAGGCGCTGCCTCTCACGGTAGTTTATGATTTGGGGGAGCGGTATTTGGCGTTTAGCGTGATGCGCTACGAACCTGGCGACTCGAGTTTTTTTCCTGCTCACGGCCATCAAAACTGGTGACGTTTATCTGAATTGCTCCTGAGCCTCCCGAGGTCGACTCAGCCTCAAATGAGTACCTGGTGTTGTGTGAAAACATTGCAGCTAGGGAAACATAAGCGACCGGGTGTGGTTCTGGCCACCCACTCCCTTGTGTGCCACGGTGCCGGCCATCAGAGGTGTTACTACTCGCTAACAGCACTTGCCCCACCAGTCTGTTAAGGCTATATGGCGGATGTTTTTCATTGAGGAGCGGGATGTGTTGCAGGTAATTTTCTTTCCGCATTGAGATGCTTGACCAATACCAGTCAATTTGGAAGATAACGGAGAACTCAGAGGAAACCCATGCAGGAGAGGAAGATACAGACCGACACACGGAAAGGCACCCGAGTGGGAAATCAGCCCCAGCCACTTCTGGGTGGACCACCACTGCGCTCGTGAACTCACCTGAGGCATTGACCTTCGCCGACTGCACGTTAATTTGCCATTCCTGTTTCGTCTTGACCACGGTCGCTCTGTGGGGTGGACACACAGGTCAGGCGTGTAACAACTTGAGGCCTCGCCTCTACAGAGTCGTCAGTGTGAGCTTACACGTAATGAATCATACGCACAATTGTGCACTGCTGCTATGTGTTGCTGTAATTGCTCACGTGCACAGCAGGCCACTCCCACAAATGAGATGTTGGGGTGGACTCCGTGCTGAGGGACTGAGCTGAGGTGTTGCGTGACATGGAGGGTGATAGGGAGCGTGTCTGGCCATGATTGCTGGCACTCAAACGCCCCTCGGAAGAACCCTTTGATATAACCTCTGGTCTCAGAAATATATTTTGTTTATTGTGTATTTATTTAGCCAACCTGTCATAAAGAAGACACACCTCTACGTCCCATTGTTTCTACTATCAACTCCCCCACCTATAAATTGGCTCGTTTTTTGTCTGAAATCCTACGGCCTTTCACTGGAAAAATCACCTCTGCGGTACTAAACTCTACTGACCTGGTATCGACAATCAAGGGGATTGCCCTGTCCCCAGACGACCTGCTTGTCAGTTTTGATGTGGTTTCCTTATTCACCAAAGTTCCTGTACCTGACACCATCGCAACCATTGAAGACTTGGTTCACCAAGGACTGAATGCTGGGGTACCCCCCCTGGTGAGACACTGCTTAACCAATACATACTTCACCTGGAATGGAACTTTCTACAAGCAAACTGAGGGCACCCCAATGGGCTCCCCCCTATCTCCGGTTGTAGCCAACATCTTCATGGAGAAATTTGAGACTGACGCCATCCAGACTGCCACTCTACGCACGACCTTATGGAAGAGGTACGTAGACGACACTTTTGTCATCTGGCCACATGGCCGGCCTGCTCTAGACCAATTTCTCGACCACATCAATTCCATACACCCAGCCATCAGATTCACCATGGAAGTCGAAAAGATGGCAAGCTACCCTTTTTGGATGTCCTAATTAAAAGGAGACCTGATGGTTCAATGAGCTGCTCTGTCTACAGGAAAGCCACCCATACGAATGCTTACCTAAAACCGGATTCCCACCACCATCCATCCCAGAAGAATTCCCTCATCAAGACTCTATACCATAGAGCCCAATGCATCTCCGACCAGGAACACATTGCCAGTGAACTCAAACACGTACGCCAAGCTCTTAAGGCTAATGGTTACTCCAACTACACAATCCGCAAAGCCATCACTCCAACCATCAAGAAGGATCCTGTTGAGGAGCCTTTCAAGACAATCAACTTACCCTACATTGCTGGGGTCACAAAAAGATCTCCAAAATCCTGATTAAACACAAGATCCAGGTCCGATTCAACACAGTACATAAAATCCGTGATCTGGTCCCGTTTGTAAAAGATGTGGTTCCAGACATACAGTACCCTGGCGTTTAGAAACTAAGTTGCCTCTGTGGTAGCAGTTACATTGGAGAAACCAAACTACATGTCTCGGACCGCATCCGTGAACATAAAGCAGACCTGAAACACGGTAGGACAAACACCTCAGCCGTGGCAGATCACTGCTACAACTCAGTGGGCTCACATGACATTGACTTCTCCAAGACAGAGGTTCTCTGCAAGCCATCTGGCTATCATGAGAGATTCGTTCATGAGGCGATCCACGTATACAAACACAGAGACAATTTCAACCGAGAAGATGGATTCTGGCTTAGCAATCATTGGAAGGACGTAATAAACCATTTCGGATCTTAACTGATTGTGTTCACGTTTACGGTGACTTTCAGACCGCGTTCCACTCACTGGCATTGTATTCTCCGCAGGGAATGGATCCTTTGCTCCACTGCAAGTTTTCCCCCACGACTCGCCCATTGACACGACGGTCAATGGTACAGTGTATAATAACAAATAGTATAACATTTATAGGCTTAATACAATGTACAAAGTAATATATAGTATCGTAATTGTATAGTAAACATATAGCGGTGTGATACACATTAGGGTGGGTAGAATAATACATAGTGTTATATTAAAATGTATAAGGTATAGGGTGGTTTATAGCAATACAGTATATAATTTAATGTTGGGTTTGTCTATGGCAGTATATAGTACGGTGTAGACTCGTGTGATGTAAGAGAATAAAGTTTAGATGGAAGCATCTTACCTATAAACGTCACTTTTTGTCTGTCTGTCCGTCTGTCTGTCTGTCCGTCTGTCTGTCTGTCTGTCTGTCTGTCCGTCTGCGTACGCTCCCTTCCGGGGGATTTAGCTCTCGGACCGTGGGGTTCGCCGAGATTAAATTTTGCAGGTGGGCACGCCCCCGGCCCCGCGGTAAACTTAGGCATTTCCGATTTTTCGTCTCTAAACTTTAAATCGGACCGATTATCGATTTAGTGCGATTTATCTTTATTTATTTATTATTGCCGACCAGCACGTAACGAAGCACGCCGTTGCGCATGAGTGAAGGCGGTTGCCCCTGGCAACGGGCGGTTGGCCCCTGGCAACGGTTAGCAACGCCGCTTCGAGGTGGACGCCATTTTTAATTCCCGTTAAAATATGCGCACGCATTAACACGCGACGCTGAGGTAAATTCATCAAAGTTTCACGTCCTCTTCACTCCCCACCCACCCCAATGTGTGCAATCACTATCATAGAGTCGGTAGATAATAAAATAATAGCGATTAGACAGTATTATTGTAGCGCGGGGGGGGGGGGGGTGACGGCCACAGCACCCAGCCTCGGCCGGGTGGGCAATCTAGGCGAGGCCGGAGGCTCTGCACGGTACTAGGCCTCGACACCCCACGCGTCTCAGGCGACGACTTTGTGGTATAAACTCGATATACCCAGCGTTGCCCAAGAGGCACGTCCCTTGCCCCGCGGTGGGAATAGGCATGTCCGTTTTTCATCCGTCACCTTTAAAGTGGTTTAATTATCGATTAAATGATATTCAACATTATTTATTTTCCCCTGCCGCTCCACGCGCGACATTTGCGCATGCGCGAAACGCTGACCGGGGGTTGCCCCTGGCAACGCACACACGCGCCGTCGGTGGAAGGGGAGGGGGATTTTCATTCCGTGGACAAGCTTACAAGGTGAGTCGCGCTTATTAACAGTGTAGTGGGTTCAAATTAGGTGCACACACACGCAGCTTGGAGGCAACACTATTTATTAAACGGTAATTAATATAACACGGTACATGAGGTGGTGACCACCTTCCTCAACTCACTAACACTCTGGAACGTGACACAGACTGGACCAGGCAGGCAACAGCCTGCCTGGCCCAGGACGACGACTCGGGACTTGACGACCGATGGTGTCTTCACTCTTCGGAGTACAGTACAACAGCCCTGCTCTGCGTTCACACCACGCTTATATCTCCTCTCTGGCGTGGCCGGCTCCGCCCAGGCCACGCCTCCCTTCCCAGGCCACGCCTCACTTCCCAGGCCACGCCTCCCTTCCCCCACCTCTGGGAAGGTCCGGATCCTTCCACCACGTGACCCCCCAGGCACCCCCTTTGGGGCCCCCAGCCCTCGTACGGGCCGACACAGTAGTGACCGTTCTATGTCACTACATCACCCCCCCCTGTATAAACACACAGCCGTCCCGGCTGTAACACAACTGTGAAACATCGAAAAGGTGTGCCTCCGAACCAGCAACATCAATAAATGACCGGCGACCGATAAGAAATACAATCACGTAATATATACAGAATCGACGAGGGTTAAAGGGAACCGCATAGAAAACGGGGAATTAACAACAAATATACATGAAAACCGGCTAACCCACTTACGCTCCAGCACAGCCCCCCCCCCCCCCCCGTTAGAATCACGCATGCAATGACAGTCACCCGTTAGCACCCCCCCGCCTTTCCGACGTGGCGTCACAACCAGTAGCACGCGTCGGCCATATCGGAGGGGGGATTTCCATGTTACCACCCCACCGCCTTTCCGACGCGGCGTCACAACCAGTAGCACACGTCGGCCATATCGGGGGGGGAATTTCCATGTTACCACCCCACCGCCTTTCCGACGCGGCGTCACAACCAGCAGCACGCGTCGGCCATATCGGTGGGATTTTAACCCAGTCTCTCTCCAAGACTCGCATCGCAGCATATAGCTGTACCGACCGAGCTGAGATGACCCAGTCTCTCTCCAAGACTCGCATCGAAGCATATAGCTGTACCGACCGAGCTGAGACGACCCATCGTTCACTCACTGCACAACATGCACCCTAACAACTGAGGGATACAGTTCCAACGTAACAGGACAACTACACCTGAACCTTACGAATCTCCAGCCCACTGTTTCAACGCGCCTCAGAGGGTCTCAACCTCCGAGCCGTCAGGTCAAGCTGTCAGCCATAGCATGACGGGACCACACTCTCCGAGCCATGTGAGCACACAGCCCACTAGGCTAGACATGCCACGGAGTGTTTCAATCTCCGGGCTGTCAGGTCAAGCCGTCAGCCATTGCATGACGGGACCACACTCTCCGAGCCCTGTGAGCGCACAGCCCACTAGGCTAGACATACCACGGAGTGTTTCAATCTCCGGGCTGTCAGGTCAAGCCGTCAGCCATAGCATGACGGGACCACAACGTTCATGTTAGACACACAACACTCACTGGGCCATCCTGGTCAGGATCTGCGCCCCAAGATAAGTGACAGCCAGCACCACAATTCCAAATCCCTGGCAGCATGTCACCATCGCAATTTAACACCATCACAACACATACAATTTGAATTATGATCCCCCACAGAACTGATCCAATGCCGAACAGGTACGCACAATTTGTGACGATCCCGAATATTCAATGATCACAACAATACACCTCACATCCCGTATCCGTACACATCATCTCCGAGACTCGCATTGCAGCATGCAGCTGTACCAACCGAGTGGAGAGAGCAACGCAATTTGACGGCAATTAACGGAAACGCACCCCCGATCCATGTAGAACACAAGGAGCATTCCCGCACAAAAGACATCATCTGTGCAACAACGGACAGGAACCAACCAGTGAGTTTGAAACAAACCGAACCTGTCA